CAAGGCCACAGAATTGCAAAATGGCTGTGCCTGGATCACTGGGTCTGTTACCAAAGCCTAGGATGCCCACCACTGCTCATATCTATGGAGTGCAGGAGTTAGTTGCTCAAAGTTTCCATTCAGGATATGGGTGGGGTGGGATTAGAGAGTTGGGAGTAAGATGAGTATGTCAGATGGGATCACTGGTTCAAGAAACATCTCAAAGTTGCAACATGCGGGATGGGCCAGAAGCTGAGAGTGGCCAGCCTGCCTGAGCAGGGGGCACACTTTGGGCAGTAACGGCCACTCAGAAGGCTCCCTGTGGCCTGAGTGTGCACAGGAAGCATCTTGAATTTTGTTCTGTAAAATGCCCCTCCCCCCACTGCCCCGGTGCTTGGTGCCAGCTCCTCCAGCCCTTGGGAATTGGCAGAGAATTGTCTTACAGGAAGAACCCATCTCTTTCCAAAGGTGGAAATATAGGGTCTCAGGGCAGAGGCTTCACCTAGACAAAAACAGGTGACGTGACAAGCAGTGGCCCTCAATGCGCTCATTTGGTAGCAGGAAGGGCTCCTAAGAGCTGAGTCCAGCTAGCAGAGGGGGCTGGAGGCTATGAGAAGAGGGCTTTGGGGTGGCTGGGGGGAGTAGGAGCTGTAGCTGCTTGGTAAACATTAAAGTTCCAATTCACTAGTTAAAAATTGGCTTTTCTATCCTCACTCTGGCAACCCTCGAATGCAAAGCAAACTACCACACTCCTCTCTGGCAGCTCCCACCCCCATCCTTGTGTCAGCCAGGCAGACATGCAACATCCCTGCCCCTGCACCTCTCGACTCAGGTCACCCAGACTCAGGATGGGTCATTTCCATGGAAATTCAATGTGACCTTCTTTGAATTTACACCGAGAAAGATGTTAAAATGGGAAATTTTTTTTTAAAGCAAGAGCTGAATTGGATCGCTAGCACCCTTATCTCAGTGTTCCCTCTTCCTACCCCTCCCTCCCTCTGCCCTTTTCCTGAGCCAGATTTTCTCTTCCTTTCTTTCTCTTTCTTTTTCTCTCTTCTCTTAGGGTCTCTGTTTCCTCTCCTCTTCTCTCCCCCTGGGCATTTTCCCCTTTCTCTTTTTCCCTCTCATCGACCTTCTCTTTTCTGGTCCTCTCACCTGTCTGTCCTTTCACCTCTCTCCCCCTTCCCTCCCATGTTCCTCCTTCCCCTTCAGCCCACTGCTTCCACCCAGACACCCACAGGAGACTTGGGCAGGCCCTATGCAGCCGTCGAGGAGACCTCCCTGATGAGGCCCATCTCCCTCCCTGACAGTCCTGCCATTGAAGGATCCATCTAATTTTATGTACAACTGTAAAGATGAATGATAAGTAGGAAGGATGCAGGCAAGAACAAGATGAATAAATT